TTCAGAGTGCACACTCTAGTATTGAATTGTGTACTGAACAACGGTAATGAAGATTAAAGAGATGTGATCATTACCATTAAGGTAAATAAAGTTAGGAAAGGACAGCAGTTGATAATATAATTGAGATAAGTAATTGGGAGGTCTATGGAAGAAATATGGTTAGGGTACAATGCGCATAAGAAGAATTAATTTTACCTGGCTACTTAGAATAGCAGTGGAACAGGAAATGTTAGATGATCCTTTGTCTTTAAATTTGGAAAGAAGCAAATCATTAAATGTTATATCAAGTTAATTCCTCTTTTTATAAATTTCTAAGTCCAAGGTAAAGTAGGTTTTAGATTTTTCACTATCAGGAATGATTTGAGCAATCATTTACTAAATTTCTTATATATATATATATATATATATATATATATATATATAATTTTGGAAATTTTTAGAATCTTATTTTTTAACTTACAAACAAAAATATATTTTAATGACCATATTATGACTGTAATACATAGTTAAATAGATTATATTTCCATGGACTTAAGAATCCAGTGATTTTTTTCTTTTTCTTAGTGTCTAGCACACAGAGGTATCCCTGCTACCTTTTGTTTGTTTTTTAAGAATCTAAGTGCTTCAAACTTATATCTGACTAGGGTTTTATACTCCATACCTACTTATATTTGTTGACATTAATTAAATAAGAATGAAATATGCAGAATATATATGTATGTATATACAGCTACACAATCAAAATATTATCTGACCTTTGTCATTCTGTGTAAAATATCCCAGCAGATTTGTCCTATATATCTCTGTTCCTTAGTATTCAGTATGAGAGATATGTGTAAACATTCCTTATCCAAGAATTCTATATAAGGAAAATAATTGTATATAGGCAACATAGTTCAACTTAACTTTAAAAAATAAATGAAACAAACAAAAATTGTTCTCTAACTGAAGCAAAGATTATTGTCTTTTATAAAGTAAAGAGGGGTTTATGTTGATAAATATCATTCCCTTATCTTAAGGCTACAAAGTAGTTTTCAATGAACTAGTAGGTATTTATAGTGAGAGACTGAGATTGTTGAAGGAATTAAATATTTCTGATATATAAAAGTTTTCACAAATATTATCTTTACTATAATTTTGTCCTAGATGCTGTTAATTGTATGTTTATTGTTACATGTTTATGAAATAGAATGTTTAAAGAAAAAATTCTGATGGTCATTTCTGCCCATATATTTTACATATTGTTATTTTTATCTTAGATGCATTTGATTAAATTTTTTACTCAGTCTGCTGTCATTTCAGTGCTCAAATATTCTAAAGTAAACTTGGGGATTAAAACTGTTTTCAAAAAATAAAGATTTAACAATAAACCAGGCATGGTGGTGCATGCATATAATCCCAGTGATTTGTGAGACTGACGCAGGAGTTCAAAGCCAGTCTCAGCAACTTAGTGAGACCATTTCTCAAATAAAAAACAAAAAAAGCTGGAGATGTGACTCAGTGATTAATTGCTCCTGGGTTCAACCTGTGGTACAAAAAGAAAGAAAGAAAGAAAGAAAGAAAGAAAGAAAAATATAATAAAATTTAACATTTAATATGGATATTCTGGAGGGACCCATGTTTCAAAGTTTGGGATCTTTCATGGATTTTCCCTTTCAATAGTATTTCAAATAAATCAAAATAACAAATTTCCTGGCTTGAAAAGAAAATTCAGTAGTGCTATTAATGTTTTTCACAAACCAATATCTACCATGTGTGAAATGTTTTGTCTTCACATGCTAACAGAAAGAATTGAACCCAAATCAAATACTCCATATAGAACCCTATGTAATCATCCCCAAAGCTTTAAGTTTGGCATCCAGATAAATCTTTTTTTTTTAATTGATTTTATTTTTTTAAATACATGACAGCAGAATGCATTACAATTCTTATTACACATATAGAGCACAGTTTTTCATATCTTTGTATATAAAGTATGTTCACGCCAATTCATGTCTTTATACATGTACTTTGATGGGGGTTTTTTGCATTACAATTTTAATTACACATAGGTACCACATTTTTTCATATCCATGTTTGTATATAAAGTAGGTTGACACCCAATTCATGTCTTCCTACATGTACTTTGGATAATGATGTCCATCACAGTCCACCATCCTTGCTATTCCCCTGCCTCCTCCCTTTGCCTCCCTCCCCTCTTCCCTATCTAGAATTCATCAATTCCTCTCATGTTTCCCCTCCCTCCCCCACTATGAGTCAGCCTCCTTATATCAGAGAAAACATTTGGCATTTGATTTTTTGGGATTGGCTAACTTCACTTAGCATTATCTTCTCCAATGCCATCCATTTCAGATAAATCTGAGTATAGAACAGCCTGAAAGAAGAGAAGAAGATGGATGTTCTTACATTATTTGGGGGTTTTGTGATTTTCACCCTTGATATTATTTAGAAAGTACTTCAGTGTATTTTTAATACCTTTGAAACTAGACACTCTTTATTTTTTTTCATGAAAAAAATTGTATTTTGTTTTTAATAGAATTGCAATGTACCTCACTTATTTTTCCAGTTCTTTGGCACAAATACGTGAAAATTTTCATATTACTAAGACACTCACTAAAACAAAATTCTTGAGGTAAATTCCAATTTGCATTTTTATTACATAGAAAAAATGAGGTGTAACAATTCAAATTGAATTACCTTTAATACACAGTTGAGCCATATACATGAAAATTCCATTGTTGAATAAATTTAAAACCGAGTCATCTGAATTATTTAAATTTAGAATTAGTATTGACATGACTTTTTTTTTCTTAGTGGTGCTGGGGGCAAAACCCAGGGCCTCACATAACTTAGGCAAATCTTCTATCTCTGAGACACACCCCAAACCAAATGTTAGCTGTTTCTTAATTATAAACTTCACCAATACTAGAGGATCTCAGATTTCTTACTGAGCTAACTAGCCAATAGATAAGACCATGAGGTGATGAATAATGTGGTATGCTTGAATTCACTAAAATAATCACTTAGTGAAAGAAAACCAATAACCCAAAGTAGGTGATACAGCTGCTACAAAATTCTTACATAGCCCTAACATTAATTTGGTTTTAGACAATATAATTTGATATTTGCTATATTATTTTTCTTTGGTTGATTTTCACAGGAAAATTTTACTTGATCAAAAAATTTTATATCATGACCTTCCATACAAACCAAATTTTGTTTGGTGTAAATTATGTTATAGTGTTAATAAGTAAACATGTTTAAAGATACATTATAATATTAATATTACTATTTTTTTTTTACTTTCAAGTTTTTTGTTATCACACTCACCATAAACAGCAGATCTTTTTTTTCTGTCTGTGAAATGATCAATCCATTTAAAATAACAAATCATAATAATTCTTTGGAATAGCAAAGTTTAACTATTATAACATTATGCATGAACAGCACAATTTTCTTCATGTGGTCTTATAAAGAATTATACATTGTCATCATACTTAGTAATTATGTTGGAAAAATATAATTACACATTATAATGCATTTTCAGTCTTACAAGTAATTAAACTAAAAAACAATTAGTTTATGAATAATTCATTTTTTATTTTAAAAATTTCTTTTTTTCCTTATAAAAGTAGCTAATATAAAGGAATTGTTAGAGACTTTAAAAGGAACAAAGAAACAATAAAAACATTATTAAAATTGCAACTTTTTAATAGTTTTGCAGAAAGAATTTTATATATATATATATTGGGGGTCACAGAAGTTAAGGATGGCTGTGCTCAACTGATATGAAAATCTTACTTCCACACCAACATGCAGAATCTGAGGAGGTCCTTCAAAGAGAAGAGGATATAGAGAAAATGCATATAAATTTTATTAATGCTATGAAAACTACACATGAATGTTTTTTTCACTGCTACAGAAAGCATGATTCACTTCCCACGTTCTCACTTTCACGTATTATTCCAATTCAAGCTTACTTCATAGCTTTAACCATAAAGGCTATTTAGACCTTTCTCCACCTAACTTAATTTCTATGTATCTATTTTTGTGATTCTTTTATATTGTTTTTGAGTATTTCTGGTAGTTTAAACTCATCCAGTCACTGGAATAGATTCCAGCTCATTTTTTTATTAAATTGGAAAAACTTTTCAAATATGTCCAGAAATTTTAGAAATTTGAAGTCTCACTTTATTTTAATATATTTTTATTTTAATAAAAAGTCCTTTTTTTTTTTTTTTTTTTTTTTAGGAGAAAACCACTTTTAATTGAAAAATAAAGCAATACATCTCAAATAAGACTCTGTTTAAACGAACAACATAAACTGTAATTTGTTTAAAGAAAAGGCTTTCCTAAGTGGTATTGTGAAATTTAGGTATCAGTATTAATAGCTTCCCTCCTTTACCCTGACAAATTATTTAAAATAAGAACCTTTTCCCATGAACTTAATTTCCATGAATTAAATGTGTACAGGTTTATCCCTACTTCCAACCCAGTGACAAATGGAGGGGCTATTTTAAACAATTATTTCTATACTTGAACTCCCAGAGAAAAGCAAATACCAAAGTCAATATTTTCCTTATGAAAAAGCTTATATGTAAAACACACAAGACTATTAATATTTAACTCATTCACAAAACTTCAAAATACAATTTCATCAAGATGATCTCTACCAACAATTTTCCTTTAAAGAAGTTTGCAAATTTCAGAATGGTTTAAGTTGACATACACCGGACCCGTTAAACTTTGAAAGAAACTACTAAATTATTGCTTTAAACTGGAAAAAAACTATGGTCGAAAGTATCTTTAAAAAGAACTCATCCTGCTGTTCCTAAAATTACACTCATGTTAGCTGCAGAAAAAAATGTTAAAGCATACAGTAAACATTACTCTTAGAATAACAGAACAAAGGCATTAAGATGTATGGCTTTCTGTGTGATTGTTATTACTATCTATAAATAAAGTCATTGCTGTTTGACTGAAAAAGGTTTTTACAAAACTTCACTTCTAAAATTAACATTTTTATTAAATCAAGTTTAAAAAAATGTTCACTGTAGAAAAGTCAACAAGGGTTTTAAGAAAACCAAAATATACCTTTTTATACAATATATGTATATATTAGCAGCAAACTACTTCTGAGATTTTGATCTTTTAGTAATTTTAAAGAAAGCATAAACATTGTGTATTAGTATGGAATGTCAGTGAATTCACTTTATCCTTTTTTTCTGTGATTTGGCCCTTCTACAAAATACTTTATGATTCTCAATATTAAGAAAAAAACTTAGTTTTGACTTTGAAGTAGTGAAACTGTGGCTGGTAAAATCTATTTTCACTACCCTCATAGTCACGAATTATTTTTGAGAATAACAAATGAGCACCATATAAATAGGTAATTGTGTGTAAACTCAATTTTTAAGGTGTAATAGCAACCAACTTATATCACTTAGCATTTGTTACTTTTTAAAAAAATTTGGTGATATACAAAATTTTAATCAAATCAGATAATTCAATCCTATATTGCTTGTTCATTTTTAAATCCTTAATAAAAGTTCTGTATAACCTGACAAACTGCATGCAAAGATATATATGTGTATGTATGTTATGTATATACATACAAAAGTATATGTACATATATATCTTTAGCTTTGAATTTCTTTAAATTTCTCATTTAAGTATATCTGTAGAATATATCACCAACTGAAAGTTTCTAGTAAGTTTCATCTCAGCTAATGAGAAACACTGGCTATTGAAAATTCTGTGGCAAAACAATTGTTATTCAGCTTGGTATTTCAGCTTACAAATTGGTCAAACAAACAAAATTGAATTACCAATTGCTCCAAAGAAATAAATTTTTTTCTTGATATTTCCTTCTAATAGCAAAAAGGAAATGTCTTTGCAATGAACTTTTACTTTTAAAGAGTTAAAATTATTAAAGAAATCTCACTAGTTTTCAAAAATACTAAATGTTATATAAATACAATTTTCTTATAGTTGAATACTTCAGCTATAATCTGTGTTTAAAAAATTTCCTTTGGATTCTTCCATTTAGCACTTCAAGTTTTCATTCTGCAACTCTGACAACTGGCTCAGATTTGTTACGTTTATATCAATCACGTCTTTCAGAATTTGCTACTGTGTGTTACCTGTGTACAATAAATAGGAAAAACTGCACCAAAATTTCAAAAGCAACATAATAATAATGAAAAATTCAAAAATATATAATATAAAAAAAGATAAGAGTACAACAGGGATTCCCTTTTCACTACATTACTGAGATATAATCCTTTTTATGCTTTTAAAGTAATGTTAACTTTCATTTTTTAACTTGTCAAGAAGATGAAGTTTTTAGGTGGCCCAACCTTTACTTTTCAATTAAAAAATTTAAAACAATAGACTGAATTACTTTTATTAATATACACATCAAGTTACTGAAACTGTGACTTCGTGTAGTTTTCCCCTTAAAGATGGCACTTGCAGGTACAAAGATGTAGAGATGTCTACAGGCTTCAGATGTTTACTTGAAAAGATTCTTCAACAGCAGTTTGATATTGGGTTTCCTCATCTAGCTGAAGATTCACAAATTCTCCATAATCAAACTGATGTCTTTGATTTAGATGACTAACGAAATTTCTAGTAATCTGGCTAGGATCTCCCCAAGGAAGAGACACACAAATAGGACATGTCACAGGAACTATCTGAAATAGGTGGTTACTGTTACAGTGATCAAGTAAACGCTGTCTAGTAAAATTTGACTCTTGACACAAGGGACACTTAAAGGTGGGATTCCCAGAACTTGTATTCTCTTGGTAAGTTTCTGTGTTATCAGATGTGGATGTTTCACTCCTATTACTATTCCCTACTGAATCTTGAGATATCTGAAAGTTTGGAATAATAGAAGAAACACCATATTCATCCTGACACTTCTTACAAGATTTATAATGATGTCTCATACGATAGAATTTAATCTGTTTTGCACAGCATCTACAGCTACCAGAAAACTTCCTCATGATATTTTCAAGATCTAAGGCCCGTTCTGGACACGCTCTTTCTCTTCTAGTCACATTTCCACGACACAGGGGACAATGTATTCCACTTTCTCTCATTGCAGTCAGGAAACATTTTCTACAGAAAACGTGCTGACAGGCCGCGGTCCGCACTGGCGTTTTGAGCATTTCCTGACAGACCGGGCAGTAGAAATCATCTTCTGTGTAGGCCGTGGCCGCGGACAGCTCCTCGGCCATGACGGGGGTAGAGGAACAAGGCGATGGCGGCAGCAGCGGTAGAGGTGGCGGTGGCGGTCCGGAGCCCGACTCCTTCCGAGCCCCGGAGCGGCACTGTAGGCTGAACTGCTTCTTTGTCGCGGGTTCGTAGAAAGGTGACCTTTCGTCGCCGTCGGGCTTCTGGTCCCGCCGCTGCTGCCCTCGCAACCGAGGCCCCACGGCAAAAGGAGAACGGAGTGCGCAGTGCTCATCGGCCCAAGAAAGGGCGGGACCCAAGGCTCATGGTGCACCGGGATCCCATCGCCCCCGCCAGCAGCTCTCCCGTGGCATAGCGCTGCCTGCAGCCTAATAAAAAGTCCTTAAAGGTAGTTACTTTGATAAATGTCATTTTCAGATGAGAAAACACTAGCATAAATAAATTAATTTACTTGCTGAAGTAACTTGCAAATGATGAAGTAGAGTTTGGAACTAGATGCTCCAATCTGAGAAAAACATAGTAGACATTTTAACTATTATATTATAGTAGGACCTCAAATTATATCAAGCATTCATGTAATTTATTGTATAATGCCCAAATTAGTTAACATTAACTATCAAAGAAGGCCAGATTGTATCTGTATTGTTTCAAATATATATTGATTTGTTTGTGTATACACACACACACACACACACACACACACATATATATATATATATATATATATATTTACACACACACATATATCTATAATGCAACTACAGATAATGATAAAATATCTCTCTTAACAAATGTTTTATGTACTTAATGTATTCAAATGTAAATAGTTTAATAAAACAGATATTATAATTTTAATTACATTTCCCCATGAATTTTTGATACACACTCATGGTCTTTTTTGTTTTTATTGACTCCACATTTTAACCCTGGTCATTTTGACGCTCCATTTCAGTAGCTTTACAACCACCACATTATGAGCCAAAAAAATCTCCACCACATTATGAGCCAAAAAAATCTCACATTACAGTACAGTAGAAAAGACATGCGATTTGAAACTAAGCAGTTCTGAATTTAATTCTTCATTTTGCTAACTCTGTAAATGGGAAGAATTGCTTAAAGTTCTTTCATATTAAAAATTAAGGCAATCTCTACAAGATTTAATTTATTCATTGCTAAAATAATGATAAACTGAATGCTGTTTCTAACCACGAATGTAAATTCTATATATTGAATATGCATTATATATAAACTAATAATAAAATCAATTGCCTCTTGATGTCTCCCCCCCAAAAAAAAACCAGATACATTTTCCTGTTTAAATGAAAACATTCTCTCTGCTAGTTCAAGAAAGTGTGGTATACAAATTTTCAAACACAGATACATCTAGTAAGACTATACACACAATTGCTGAGGGTTGGATTCTGGGTATGCATATTGTTATTCCATTTTTCATTGGGATGACATTATTAAGTATGCACACATCTACAAATTTCAGGTGACTATCTCCCTCTTCTTTGTCCCAGAAAAAACCTAAAGAATACATTTGGGTTTAGATTCCTAGAAAAGTAACTGCAATTATGAAAAGTGCTTAATTATTCTCACAGAACATTACTGAAAAGAAAATCAATCTTAAGACCAAAGAAAAGATATCCATGTCTTTGGATAAAATTGAAAATCATGAAACTAAGAGAATGAGAAAAGAAGAGGGGAAGTACCTTAAATAATATATGCACACAAAAGAGAATTTAATTTCTGCTTCTACAGAAAAGAGTTTTCCATCCATCTCAATTGGCTACCATTCCAGATATTTATACTTAGCTATCAATCTCTCTTTAGCTTTAGTGGAGAATCTTCATGGTGTGATTAAATTACATTTAGTTTCTGTTTTTATTCATCACATAATGAGCCCCAGATTGATATTTGTATACTGTCAACATCCCTGCACGTAATGGACAGAGGCAATAAAGCTTTCCACATAAATTTGTGCAATTATCATTTTTCTTAGTCTCGGCAAATGGAAAAGCCCTGGCTTTAAATATAAATTAGCAACATCTGTTCTGAAGTAAACCCTGGTGTATTTCATGAAAGATCCACAGGTTGACCACCAAATTCTAACATGTCCATTCTTGGAAAATACTGAACTCAGGTTAGACAAATGTTCATTAAATTTAACTCTTTTTTTTTTTTTCCTGGTGGGTGGGGTGGTGTTGGGAGTGTCCTCTACCACTGAGCTATGCCCATAGTCTCATAGTAATATATTACTAAAACATTCTCCATTTCTAGGGTATGTAAAAATGTCTCTGTGGAGCAATGAATTTAGCAAGGTGGACTTCAGAAAGGGAATTTCTAATGTAGTTAGGATGGGCTATGTAATTCGTGGGCTGCTTGTTTAAAAGTTATTTAAAATTTCAGGATGGTGTTAGTAGGACACTAAGCCAAGCTCTGCGTGACAGCACAGGAGATAAACCCAGTAAGCTAACCCTGTATTTAGTTCACATCACTATGATTACCTCAATAACTGTGCTAGAAATGTGATCGATAGTCATGCTATAAAAGATTTAATAAATTATCTGGGCCTCAGTATGTGATGAATACCTGTTTGGGGATTAAGTTTATGGATAGTAATCCAACAATTCAAACTGCATCAATAGGCAGAGGAGAGAGAGCGAGAGAGAGAGAGAGAGATGCTCTATCATTTAATTCCATCCTCAAACTCATAGTTACACTTTTACTTCAAATATATGGGAGAAAACTGAAGATTATTAATTGATTTGCAACTTAAATTATTATGTACTTTTAGAGTCCAAGTTTCACTTATTAGATATTATGCAAGTCATCTTAAGTGGTTTCTTATTACATTTCAAAATTTAAATGTTTCATTATTTTTATTGCTAGTATTTGAGTTTACTCTTAATTCTTTGTGTAATCATATTATTATGATAATTTCTGGAATGTTTACAACATGCTTATCACTTTGTTAGTACTATATAGTTATAAATACATACAAATAGAAAGATGGGTAGATAAAAGATAACTGTTTAATCATATATGGATTTAATATAGTGCTTCAGTTCAAAGTAAAAGTGTTTCAAACCCCTAATCCCATGAGAATCTCTGCAACTCCAAAAGAATGTTACTCCTCTTTTAGGATAACCTCTGGCTTCAGGCATATTTATTCTGCAACATAATGACCAGTCTTGAGGATGGTATAGGTGTTCTTTTATAAGGTAGTTAAAATATCTTCTGGGCTAGAGATATAGCTCAGTTGGTAGAGTGCTTGCCTCACATGCACCTGGGTTCAATCCCCAGGACCACAAGTCAATCAATCAATCTTGTTTCAGTAACATGTTGCAATCCCATCTTTAGAAGGAAATGTTGCCTCAAATATCCAGGTCATTCTAGGGTTCCAGGATATAAGTTGAGTTTTACCTTTTCTGATTTTGCTTTCCAGACTCTTAGCAAAAAGAGGAAAGCCAAAGTCTCCTTATATACTTCCTCTACAACTACCATTCACTTTTCATCATTTTTTAAATCTCCTATTTACAGTTGTCTGTCTTTTTATTCTATTTATCTTTCTAGATATATACTTTTATTTTTTTCTTGTTACTTCAGTTTGTATTATAAAAGACATGTATACAAATATGCATAGATAAGTTTTCCAAACTTGGCTAGACGCAGTTTGTTGCAATTTTGGATTAGCCACAGTCAGGCTATTGTTTGATATTCTTTATTTATGAATTCTCCTTTACTGTATCCAATATATGTCAAATATATAGTCTTCAGTTCATATTTCAGACTTCTTGAGTAACTCACTGGTGTCTCAGCATTTCCAATTCCTCACGAAAGTAATAGAACCATCTTGTTCACAATTATGAGGACCACCATCACCATTACTACTATTACCATCTTCACTTTCCATTCTTATATATTCATCTAATTTTTTATTGCAAACTCGTAAGACCTGTTTGAACTTGTTACGATTAGCATCCAGATTTTATAGAACATGATGCTAAGATTTGGGTAGTAGAGCCAATATTTAAATAAGGTTATTCAATGAAGAGCATCCAATATTCATCCTTATGCTATTATTGAAATATATACAAATATGTTATTAAATGTTAATAAATTTATCAACATACTAAGTTTTACTATTAGTTGTGTTTCACTTCAAACTTTATGTCTTACATAAGGCTTGCCATTCTTTCACTAAACCTTATCTGTTGGTCCCCCAAACCATTTCTCCCAAAATTGCTAGTATATATAACCTAACCATAAAACTTAAATGGCTATGCATTCATAATTTAAGGCCATTGGCATGAGAGCAGAAACTGCATTTTACCATAAAAGATCCATTTCAGCTGAATGCCTTATAATAAATACATACTTATTTTATATGAATGTCTATGAATAACATGTAGCCACCGCGGGGCAATTAACTTACTTATATTTCCCAGATTTTTCCCATTCTAGAAACTACTTTATCCTAAGCAAAGCAGATGGTTGGTAAGTAACCCTATATTGTTATTACATTTTCTGAGCATCTAAAACCTTAGGGAGTAGAATAAAATTGGAGAAATTCCACAAAGAGGTGTGAAAACACAATAATTTAAACTTTGGACTAAAATAATCATGTCAATTTGAAGACTTGAATGAGATTTTCTTCAAAAAAAAAAACTGTTCCTTTCTCTCATTCCACAATTGGAGTTCACAAAAATAGTAGACATTCACTTACCAAAAAAAATGTATGTTTTCTATAGAAGAAGAATCATTTTTTGGGGGGGGGTGAAAATTGTCTCAAACCACAGTGTAGATTGGGGAAGAGGAATACAGGACAGATTTGGGTAAAATGGAAGATGAGTGATGGTGCAACAAATATAACAAGAAGGGAAATATGAAATAAAATTAGGCCAGTGGAGTCTGCCATTGTTCACTTTGAAGTCTTAGCTGAAGTTCCAAATTTTCTAAAATTCATGAAAGCAAAGTGTTATAGTGTCCCTTGAAAAGTATGTGTTGTAAATATGATATCCAATGTACTAATGTTCAGAAGTGAAATAATTAGATTATGAGAGCTGTAACCTCATTAGCAGATTAATCCCTTTGATGCATTAATAATGTGAAAAAAAATACTGTGCTGGGTAGTACCTGTAGGCAGGTAGGTTGTGGTTAGAGAAATTAAGTGACTGTAGATGTGCCCTCTGGGATTACATTTTGTTCTTGGCTCCTTGCCCCAACTTCTCCCTTCCCATCTCCTAGCTGCTTTGAATAGCTTTCCTCCATCATGCATTATCCACCTTCATATTCTTCCATACCTCAGGCCAAATCATGGACTGAGACCTCTAAAA